TGTCTGTCTGTCTGTCTGTCTGTCTGTGGACAACATTCCTCAAAAACTTGTGGACAGATTATCATGACATTTTTACCACTTGTGGGGACTGGGCCAAGGAACACACCTTTAAATTTTGGTGATGTTCCGGATCATGATGCGGATACAGTAATTTTTTTCTTTTAACATTCTGAGATGGGCAAAGCTGTGATGCTTTCACAGGGCTTCTGTAAAAAACTGTGGGCTGGATTGGACAGCACGGACTACAAAATTTATAAAAGTAATGTTAAAACCACATTTAATGATGAATAATTTTTGCCATAATATGCGCATTTACAGAACGTTTTGTGACCAGGAAGTGCGTGACTGTAACATGAAACTTATTTTTCCCGTTTCCTCAAACACACCACATTTCCGAAACAACCAATCAAAACAGTTTCTCACTACTAGGCTTGTAAACAGAGAGCTGCCGGGCCTCAAAGTTTGGAGACGGGGGGAGCCAGGAAGCACTTTATAAAGAGAGTCAAACCATTACAAACTCCTACAAGGGGATAAAACAGACGTTTTACACGGTGAAATGTGACTGATGAAAACTTAGGAGCTTAATCCGACACCAGTTTGATGATGAATAACGTCGGGTGATGAGTCTGACTTTTTTTTTCCACATTGGACTCCACCGAGAAGAAATTCCGTGCATACTGCCTGCTTAAATGTTTGCTACATCAGAACTTATTGGCCAAATGTGTTTCCATCTCTGCTTTTGCGCATTAACTCTTACAGGATGGGGGAAACTGGTCTTGGCGGAGGTTTGCACTCTCCGAGTGCTTCTAGTTTTTAATAAAAACATACCAGCCCTACAAAACATTTTACATCAAGTTCACAAGAACTCAGGTAGTCACCTTTGTATTTTGTTCATTTTCTGGTTTTCTAAATTAATTTTCCTTGACTGTATTATCTGTTGAAAGTTGCCTCCTAGTAACAGAAGAGCAGGATAAGAGATAAGATAATGTTGTCTTCCAGCGTGAAGAGTCACTAAAGACATATAGAGGTCTTTAGTTTCTCTTTCCTGTCCCCCCAAACCCAGCCGGTCAAGGCAGATGGCCGCCTGTCCTGAGCCTGGTTCTGGTTCTGCTGGAAGTTTCTGCTACCAGCGTGCTGCTCAGGATGGGAGACTGTGATGAAGGGGTTTAACACAATCTGCTGGCTTCTTTAGACTGATTTTTGTGTACAGTGCCCTGAGAAGACATGTTGTGACTTGACGCAATATAAATAAACTGAATTGAGTAAACTCCCCAGAATGCGTTGCTAGACAATCAACAATAGTAGTGGCCTAAAAATTGCTAGATTGTTTGCGAAGCTATTTTGAGCCCCGTCGTGATGAAACCACAACCTGTCCAGGGTGAACCCCACCCCTCGTACAGTGACTTGCAGGATATGGGCACCAGTGACCCTGAAAGGAAGAAGCTGTTAAATATACTGCCCTTTTAGCTGTATCTGCTTAAGTATTATTATCATTTTTAATAAAGGTCAGCTCTGACAGAGTGGTTAGGGGAGTSGTCCTGTCGGTTCGATTTCCCGTTCCAGCCGTCTCGGTTGTTCTGTCCTTGGACAAGAGTTCCCCTGCCTTGCCTACTGATGGTGGTCAGAGGGTCTGTTCACCACACACTGTAAGACCAAACCTGTTAAATTAGTTTTTTTYATCATCATGTGTGGGGGTCTCTCAGGTTTTGAAAACCAACCGACAATTTTGAAATCTTGGCATGTGAACCACTCATTAGGTTATGCTTCCATTTGAGTCAATTTTGTGATGGTAGAAACAACGGAATATCACCCCATACCTTAAAATGTACAGTCCATCACAAATAATCACGAACAATCCTGCACTCTGTGTATAAGTTTTTGTCTTTGCAAACCAAACATTCCTTTGAACAATAAATGGTGTTGTACGATTTCTAAMGGCTCAGTTGTTCTATATGTTCGTACACAAGTGTTATGTTTACAGTTTGTGTAGGCAGGAGCTCTGCCGGGTTCAGAGTTCAGCTGGAGACGGCCAAGTCCAATCACAGGCACATGATCCTGACCACTCCCCCCTCCACCACCACCTCACAGCTCTGTATTCATAGCACGGAGCTCAACACAGCTCGCTATTCATTCACTCAGTGAGAGCTCCGGCATGGAGGGAGGCGAGACAAGGGTCAGGAAGGACAGGAAGGGACAGAGTGTATCAGATCGCCCTGATTTTTTTTTTTGGGGGGGGAGAGGGGGGGTTGTTTGTGTTGTGTTGTCTTTGGTGTTGCTTTAGTTGCTCTGCACAGAAAGCATCAGGACAAAAGGGTTGATTTGGGAAACAATGCAAGAGGAAAGAAGGGGAAGAGGGGAAGACTGTTAACTGTATACACAGAAACACCAATGCAGTGACAAGTATCCTTGCCGTCCAGGGCTGGGAGATCTCTCATTCACTTAATCAACTATTGACACTATGAGACCCACAGTTCCATCAGTGTATTATCTTTTTCCGATACAGACCTTTACTACAGCAAAAGCAATGATGGTGTGGTTTTAGGCCACCCAAAGAAGACACCCATATTTGATTGCAAAACAAATAAATCTAATGCAGTGATTATTAATGTTTTACAATAGGAAAAGTGCTTTTCATAAAATTTTTAAAACATGGCTGGGAGGATTTGCTTTCATTCATTAAGGGTATTAGTGATGATGGGTAATGATACTGGGTTACAAGGCCTGAGCTGCAGGTGGCTTTCCACAGCTTCCCAAAGGTGGTGAACTTGGCCTCCATTAGAGCTCTGTGCCATTCTCCTTTTGTAACACGGAAACAGAAACACACGTTTACCCACTGTTACCTTTGAATGATCTGAAGGGTCAATCTATGGGGCAGTGTTAAAGAGATAGTTCAGTCTGTTTAACATGGGGCTCTGTGAACAATTAATCCCTGTGGGATATAACATTTTAAATAAGCTCAGTTTGGATAGAGACTTTAGTTCTGAACGGACTGAGGAGCTAATGGCTAATCCAAGGCTACGTTCACACTGCAGGAAAATGCGAAGCAAAGCTGATTTATTATTTTTTTTGCTATGTGACCCATATTAGATTTTTTTCAAAACATTCCGAATGTAACAAAATCAATGTTTTTTTTTTTTTACAAATCAGACCCAGGTATTTTTCAAAACGAATGCAGTCTGAACAGTGATGTCACATTTTATCTGACTTTTACATCAGTGTGGTCAGGGTAAGCAGATTGATTCCAGTAATAAAAACAATACTAATACCACTTCCTGCAAGAATATCATGACACCTAACCTGAAATAACTGCAATTTATGGAGTTGTAAAGGTTGATAAAATAGCATTTGCACAAACAACTTGAATACTTTGAGATTTGACTTCTTTAATAGGGGCAGTAATATGCTGTACTTTGGTCTTGGTCCTGCAGAAATAGTGAAAAGAGGAACATGTCAGAGACAACCATGAAAACTGCATTTTAAGTCTTCGTATAGTTTTTCTCTGTCCTGTTATCTTCCCCTCCCCTTCAATGTTTCACTCTGACATTTACTTCCTGTGCATATTATGTTTTTTCTTTCCCCTCTTGAACTCATTTTGCACCTTTTCATTTGAAATCGCCTGCTGTCCACTTTGTTTTTGCCTTTTCTCTCCATCATGTTTGTATACCCCCCCCCCCCGATTTCAAGCCCATTGCTCACACCTCGTTTTCTTCTTTCCTCAGTTTCTAACGTCCCTTCTGTTGTCTGCCCACCCACAGTGCCAGCGATGACTTCAGCCACATCCCCATCCTCGGAGGGTTCCTCACCTCAGAAAGTCTGCCATTCCCAGACGCAGACTGACATCAGCAAGCCCCTGCTRGGTTCTACGGGGGGAATCCTGGGTTCAGGTGGAGGAGGACCCGGAGCTGGAGAGATCAATGCTCTGCGTAAAAGACGCAGAGTTCTCTCCAAGGACGGACGAAGCAATGTCCGGATTGAGCACATCAGTGGCAGAGGAGCCCTGTACCTCCGGGACCTCTGGACAACTTTCTTGGACATGCAGTGGCGCTACAAGTTCTTCTTCTTCTCTGCTACATTTGCTGGAACCTGGTTCCTGTTTGGAGTACTTTGGTACCTGGTGGCCTTGGTTCACGGAGACCTGATTGGTAAGAAGGAAGAATGACAGAAAAMAGTTCTCTTTGTTTTTTAATCAATTGTCTATCGCCTACAGTACACAGTGGATAAAAAACCCTTAAAGTTAGTAACATTGTTAAGCACACATAAATGTAAATGGACTGTACTTATATAGCGCCTTTCTATCCATCAGGGACACTCAAAGCGCTTTACACTGCAGACATTCACCCATGCACACTCACATTCACACACTGATGATGGCAAACTACAGTGTAGCCACAGCTGCCCTGGGGCACACTGACAGAAGCGAGGCTGCCATACACAGGCGCCACCGGACCCTCTGGCCACCATCAGTATTATGACCTCTAATAAAAAATATCTCAGTATACATTTCTTAGATATAGTGTCCAGAATCCAAGGAAAACACAACCAAATTATGACTCTCACTACACCATGCTTCAGAGTTATGATAGGTTTGGTGTGGTGGAGCCTGTGTGAACTTCGAGTAAGCCACAAACAAAAGCAAACAGAACAGTTGACTTTTGTTCCAAAGACATTCATGATTTTCCTCTCCTCCAGAGTTTGACCCCCCTTCCAATCACACTCCTTGTGTAATGGAGGTGAAGACCCTGACAGGTGCCTTCCTTTACTCCCTGGAGTCTCAGACCACAATTGGCTACGGTTTCCGCTGCATCACAGAGGAGTGTCCTGTAGCGATAGTCCTCCTCATCGTTCAGCTGGTCATCACCATGGTCATGGAAATCTTCATCACTGGCACTTTTCTTGCAAAGGTAATTGTTTCTTTCTTTCTTTTTTTTTCTGTTTTTGCTTCTTAAGTTAAGTGTGGTCTGGAAAAAGCTGCATATTTTTTACAGGATACAGTAAAGCTTTTTAGAACCAAAAGCATAGCTCACATCATTTTTACTTTAAAGAATTACATTTCTTCTAATACATTAGAAACTGTTGTGAATTTTTACCACAAGCATTATCAATTATCAGTAATCCTATTACTGACTTTTTATGTTACTAGTTGTTCTAGTAGATTATTACATACAACATGTATATAATAATTAGGATGTCTTTTAAATTATCATTATAAGTTTCGAGAAATGTTTAGTCTTCATTTCTGATTTCTTCTTTTTGTTTTACAGGTTGCTCGTCCCAAGAAGAGAGGTGAGACAGTGAAGTTCAGTCAACATGCTGTTGTGTCAAATCATGAGGGGAGGCCCTGCCTTATGATCCGAGTAGCCAACATGCGCAAAAGCTTGTTGTTGGGTTGCCAGGTAATGATCTCTTTGGACAATATTCATTTCTTTGGTGGTGGTACAGTCATATTATGACAAGATGTCAGTTTGAAGAAACACTTAGAGGTTTCTTATCTAATTATGACACCACCTCCTATTTCTACTATCTTTGAGTTTATTCATAATCCCCTTTGATAAAATACTTTAAACCAGGCCTGATATGCCYTCTTCCAGTTTTGATGTTTTTTATGCGATGGAAGAAGTAACATGGGTAAAGTCAACCTGCTGCTGTTACTTCTTTGGTAGTCATAGGACTGACAGTGTGTGTGTGTAAGGGTAAGTCTATCCCAGTTTGATAGTGTGATATTAAGCTCATTCAAAAGATGGTATCTCTAAACGGCTGAACAACCCAATCTATGTTGCTCTTTCTGGCAGTTAAGAAGTCACAGATGGAGATGCTTTCTCACTGCACTCAAACACGGTTTCAGAGAACGTTAATCCATGTGGAACCAGAAGAGGCGTGTAAATAAATTCAATTGTTCTGATGTGTTTTTGTTAGCAGCAGGCRTCACTGAAAGGCTCTTGTCAAAGTACGTCCAAGTACGTCTTTTTTAGGGTTTTAAGTTTCAAAATGACCTKACCCTCACCATGGTTGGATCCTTGCTGCTGTATACTTTTAGTCAGTCTCTGTATCAATAAAGTTTGTATTTATTTTCTCCTCTGCACATGGAGCAAGGGGCTAGAGTAARCACACCAAAAGTTTATATCTGAAAGGAATCTGACTGTTTGATGACCATGGCTGGATGGTCTTTGACAGTGTCAGACAGCACTACTCTAGCCCACCTTGTCAGAAGTCGACATTACCGTTTCTGTAACTACCTTGCTCTGAGTACAGAAGCACAACAGACAGGGGTGTTCAGTAGCTCCTCTCTGCCCCTATTTGTCTCCTGAATGGASTGAAGTGGTCAGAACACGTCTCAGAAATGGCATGCGGCGTCTTCTGAAAGCACCAATGGTGACTTGGCTACAGCCATCAACCAATTTTGGATTTTTTTAACCAAAATGCATCAAAAGTTTCAAAATGAATTATTGTAAAAATGTTGGGGGTAATGAAATGTTTAAAATTTTATTGATTTAAAACACACGGAACAATGGTTGAATGTACAGTAGAATTTGCTCAAGGGCACATCACCTTTCAATGAAATTTCTAACCATTGCAGGTGTTAAACCTGCTTCCCTCTGATTCTATGAAACATTTTGGCTATACTGTATTAAAYGACTGCATCTTGGTTCCCAGGTGACAGGGAAGCTGCTCCAGACATCCCTGACAAAGGAGGGTGAAACGGTGCGACTGGACCAGCGCAACGTGCCTTTCCAGGTCGACACRTCCAGYGACAGCCCCTTCCTCATCATACCTTTGACCTTCTACCACATCATCGACGAAAACAGTCCCCTCAGAGCCTGGGCAGCAAAGGGTAGGTCACAGCTCAGACTGTGTCTAYTAAATCATAAATAAACTGTCTTATCATTGCTTTGTGCAGAATCTGTCAATCAGCAACCATTTTGCCTTTAAGTTTAATGGGAAATGAAACTTTTTCCATTTACTGACAAAACGTGTAGGTGTGTTTATGTGTGTATGTAGGTGTGTTGGTATTTACGGTCATGTGCTGCGTTCTTGTTGTCTACACTCGGGCCTGTTTGYCACTGGAGGAGAGGGTTTTTCTGGCTGGAATGTGTGTGAGAAAGATTGCTCGAGACACCCCTCATTAGAGGACAATACTGTACAGTCTGAGGTGCTGACACAAAGCCCGCGCAGATCCACTTACAGCAGCTCAGACCTCTCATCACTGAGGGCCACATGAGTACTGACCTGCTCATAAACACACATATTTACTGCTTGTGTACCTTTGTATTCTTGGCCGCATTTAATGTTTTGTTTTGACATATTTCTTTTTCAAATCATTAAAAGTAAATTTTCTATGTGTATTTTTCTCCAAGTACAGTAGCTGCTAATCTTTTTATTTCCAGTCCAACAAAATTTGGTCACAAGAAAATTCCTCTAATAACTWTATTTTATTTTTGTTTTCGTGTTATCAAGCATAATCGACATTATTTGCTGCCTTCAATGCAGTTCAGTCAGACTCACATGAAAATATCTGTGTACAGTAATTTGCAAATGTTTTGAGTCGGCATTCATTTACATGTTTTGCTCCCAAGAAGTGGGGCTTTCAATTAAATGTTTTGAAGTGGTTTTGACCAAGAGCTCCAAAGAGTTAATGAACTTTCAACATTTTATTTGAATATTTTAAACTTTGGCTGCTTTTTAAGCTGTTTACTTTATCGTTTTTGGAGAAATTATTATTTTTTCTTTTGAAGCTATTTTGTTTTGACTTTTCATTCATTCTGTGATAAAAGCACTTCAATTAAACAAGTAAACAAGTGTTGTGTTGATGCATCCAGTAACAGGTAACAAAGAATAACTTTTCAAATGGCATCTTTTGATACTTWATTAGCAAACAAAGGCACAATTTGTCTTCTGTAAAATGTGATGTATGAGCTACTATGGTCTAAGGTTTTCTCTTGCTAGTGTACCAATGTGKGCACTACTCCTACATTGYTTTTCAGCACCTGGCATTCCCATCCAAGTATTAACCAGGTCCAACTCTGTTTAGCCTCTGAGATCAGACACGATCTGGTGTGTTCAGGGTGGTATGGYCRTTCCAATCACYCTATGAAAAATATGAATGATAGCAAAGTATMATGGCAGATAAAATATTTTAGAATCAACAAGCTGATTCCTAAAGAACCATTAGCTGAAAACATGTTRAACACTGAAGGATAATGCATATTGCAGTTCCTGTCAGGTCTTGTTTCCTGTTTCTCCTGTGACTTTCAAATATTGTTAATCTGTTATAGATAGTGWTTTTTAGGCTTGAAACTTTTTTTGYYCTACACATGCTCAACAMKTGTCATAGGCTTTCATACAAGAAAAAATGTTTGTTAAGGCCCTGTCATGCCATTTTTGTCATGAATCACGCTCTGTCCTCCTGYCAGTTYCTCTCCATGTCACTCCCATTAGGTAATTAYGATAATTTCACTCACCTGTGGTTGCTTGTATTTAAGCCCAGGTTCTGCTCATATTCAATGCCAGACTGTCAAACAGAGTTCTCTTAGTAGATTCTCCAGCGTACCTGGATCACTCAACCTCGTTTTTGGACTCTGGACCTTCGCCCCTTGCTTCGCCCCTCTCTGGTACCTCCACAGCCTCTGACCTACGGCTTCGAACTCATGCTCTGGACTCTGGACCTTTGCCTCTCGACTCACCCCTCTCTGGAAACTCCGCCGTCTCGGACCCACGGTTTTCGTTCCTCGTCCACATTCCTGGACTTAAAGGTTGGTCCACTTTCTGGTTTTGTTTACTTATCATTGCCTATTCTTGTATTTTTATCACTTCTCTGGATGACAAAGATACTAATTTATAATACTCATTTACTTGTCCTCCCAGTTCACTGCGGTGACGTCATCTCCACTGGACGTCGCGGAAATGATGACATCACTCCTTTGGTCTCCTCCAGAGAATCCCAGTCTATTAAACAGTTAAACCTTTCTCKTGGTCTGGTTGTCGCTTTGAACTCACTGGTTTTCATAACAATTTTGGACAACTTATGCCAACTTGTTAAAATTTGTTATGACTGTTTATTTCATATCAGCTACATATTCAATYTAATTAGCATTACAGTATGTATAGGTCCAAAAGAGGCTTCCAGTAAATTTATAAATGTTTTAAAATTTCATTTTCAACTTAGACAGCTTTAGTGTTGGAGAAACTATTCACAAGTTGCTGAAAACATTGTAGTGTGATAGGGTCTTTACAYGTTGACTACTTAAATAACTACATGCTACTCAACTGAGACTCACGCCACAGTTTTTATCCACCACACTAATGAGAATTACCTCTGACTGAGAGTCTAAACTTTATGGTACGTTCAAACCGAACGCATTTTGAGTGGCAGGAGTGGCCGATTCACAAGCAAAGTCTGTGGAGAACGCACCTCTAGGGGTCGTGCGTCGCGTCACGTACGTTTTGGGTGGTGCGGAAGGGGCGCAGAGCGTTTTCTGCGGAAGCCGCCGCCGCCAGAGTTCAAATATCTGAACTTTTCG